GGAGCTGGTCACTCTGATGCCACGCAAGCGATTTTTAATGCCGGAAAGCCGAGATCAGCAAATGAGGCCTAGCATGACAAGAGGCCTGAATGCCAGGGGAGGCGGCCGATCTCCCGACATGGGGTCCGCACCGCACAGCTCTCCAGTCTCCCCGTTACCCCCCCCTACGGACCGGTGGGGGATATCCCGGTCCACACCTGGGACTCACACTTACGTGCCACAAAAGACTATCTTTTCCAGAAGGGAGTCGCACGAGGCGCACAAGATGGCCGCCATGCAAACCAAGGAGCAGACAAACGAGGACCCAGAGCTCCATCGTTAGAGAAAACAATTTGAGCTCCGGTTCAAGCGAATCTGCCAAGCCTTCTGGAGCCGCCTACAACTCAGACCTCCCTGCCAAGCTTCACCCACCATGGAGAACAAAGCAGCAGCCTGTCCAACCAGCTCTGAAAGGGAGGCCCATACAAGGGCGAGCACACCAAACCACCTCAGCAGCCGGAAGGCCCTCCACACACAACGGAGCTCTGGGACATAGGCTCATCGGGATAGATCGAGCGGAGCGATTCCACCTCAATCTGACCCCACTCTGATAGGCATAAAGCAGAGGAAGACTGGGCTTAAGCCACAAGCGGCACGGCGGAGGGCAAAGCAGAGGCCCTGCACCGACACCCAACATGGACAGCCTGCTTCCTGTACATCTCACAGCGCACATGGGCCACAACTCCCCAAGAGAAACACCCTCCCTTAGCAAACACTCCAACGGATGACCCTCACCCTCAACAAGCGACGGAACTCTCACAGAAGCTCCAGAGAACAAGCCTGCTCTGCAACCACACAAGGGACTTCTGCGATGGGAGAAGGGAACTGCTCCAAAGCGGGAGGCCAAGAAGGCATAGTAAAGCGGGACTTTTGTAATCCATATCGCAGGGCCAGCTGGCAAGTAGTGAAGGGCATAGGCTAAACACGGTCATAATCCTAGGAGACATGTTGTGAGGGAGTCTTAGAACCAGGCACAATAGAGTCTTATTGTTCGCAATATACACTTGATTACCCAGGGATACTCATATGCATTTACCGCTAAGCCATGCGTCAGCTAACCGTGAAACAATGTAAAGCATAGCCAAATACCAAGCTTAGTCAGCATGCCTATTACAGGGGTAAGCTTTTCACTGCTAAATATTGTTTTCATTTCTTAAACATGTACTTACTTTTAAGCAGTCAGTTTACAAGCACAACCTAAGTTTTATGCTAACTCAAGTTATTACTGTTATTATTATAATGGCAAAAGTTACACTTGTCTGTTTCACATGTACATGATTATCACTAATGCCATTATGCATAATCTCTCACTGCTGACCATGCGTACACATCTTGTTTAAAAACAAAAAAATTGCAAATCAATCCGGTCATGATGATATGTGCTTTAATATGCCTGATTGTGCTATTGTGGCACCACAGGCCTGTTTGTTAACCTTATTGCACTAAAAAAATAAAGAATTAAACATGTTTTATTATTTTTTTTATATGTCTTGTTATGGTGTGTATTTACAAAAGATAATAAAAAGATAATACAAAAGATAATAAAAGATAATAAACCATTCTATTTGTTTTGCTTTTGTAATAGTAGTAAAGCTCCTCTGGCATATATAAAAATAAATAAATAAAACAAGCTCCAGGGTGGTCTCTGGTTCGTGCGGTTGTTCGGTAAACGAACCATATAATTCCAATTGCATGAACCATGATTTTTACATTGTTTGTTCACAGGGTCCATACTCTTGTGGCAAACTCCGGTAAAAAGGTGAGATTGTCACATTAACGGCACCAGTGAAGATAGTTTTAGCAGAGAAAATAAATGCACATTAATGTTTTGATTTTGTTGTGGCAGTTGCCTTTGACAGAGTATGATCTTATCACAATGTTTTTAATTTTTTTTTTTTTACATTTCAAAAGGCAACACATTAGTCTGGTCACATACTATGTTGTCTTATCTGGGCAAGGTAAATATCCCCCATCAACAATATACTGTATATCAAGAGACTATGGAATAGTTTTGAATTTGATACTGCATTAATAATTTTCAGATCGGAGACATGTTTTCACATAACCTTTTATTATTATATTCGGCGCGTGGAGTGTGGAATTTGGAAAGGTTTCAGGCAATTACAAAGCAAGGCTCATCTGTTGGTGCAATAATAACATGCCAGTTAAATGTAAGAGATAATGATAGCGAGATCCAATTCGGTTTGCAATAAACAGGGCTTCATTCGGAGATGATACAGCAGACAGATTACAAGCAACCCTGTGGCAGAAAACTGCTGTAATTTCAGATAAATAATTCCTCATTACAAGAAAATAATAACGAGGTCACCCATCAAACAGCTTCTAAGATTAAAGAACCATCAAGAAGCGCAGCATTTTAATATGCTCTCCTAAGTACTTAAAGGGCAGGGACCACGAAAAGAAAATGACATCTTTTACGGGTTATGTACCTTTAAATATAAGCCTTTTTAGAGTTATAGAAACAATTGATTATATTTATTATTTCAGTTGCATTTTCACAAATCAACAACTTCTGCAAAAAAAATAAGTATACATCAAGGTATTTCTAAAAGCAACATAGGAATTTTGGCATTGATTTCATTCCAAAAATGAGTAGTATACAGAAATTATGGTTTTATATTCAAGGTACTCTGTAAATAGCAAAAAAATAAAGTATATAATTAAAATGATTGTACTTGTTGTAACTAATCTGTACATTCCTAGTTCAAAGCTCTTCAAAGCTCCTCTGCAAAGGAAAATCACAAATATGGCCAATGTAAATTGAAGAAACTGCTTTGTGGGATACCATACACGTCTGTATACAGCTGATGGCTTATGTACAACCTCCTCCATCCACGTATAATAGCTTACTTACAAGGGTAGATTCAAGTAACCAAACATGTGGGTTATTAATAAATAAATAAATAAATAAAAACTCCCTAATCCTTTATAATCCATTTCTAGTAAAATTCACAAATATGCCTGGTCCTGTAAAAATACTTAGATAACAGTCTTACATCATGAGATGGTACATATATTTCTAAAACCTTTCAACACCTAAAGTTGGGCTGGTAAAATGCATACATTTATCTAAATATGACCTACAGGATGGTTCCACAGACCCAAAGCACTTTATCTTGCTGAAATGCTTTAGGTTTGAAGTGTGTCCTATTTCAATATAAATTGGCACTTAAATTAACATTGTTACACTCCTCCTCTCCTCCGCTGTCAATCAGACAGGTCCAGTTACTTCCTGGTTGTTTTGCTCAGTGGAGCTAAACTCAAGAGGCAGCAATAGCTTAGAGCATTAAATGTATGCATGTTTTCCTTGAGATCATATCCACTAAACAGTAATTTAAAAAAAAAATTTATTATTGGTCAGTGGAGGCATTATACATTATTTTGAAGGAGACAGTATTTAGCAGTATAGTAGTAGTTGTTTCTCTGGGATACTCATGACTCAAAATGAAAGGAAACGTTCCATCCTTCAATGAAAACTGCCTGGAGTGTTTTTAATACAAAAGAATCAGATTTCATTAGGTTTATTGGTATGCAAGCAATCCATACATCACGCAGAAAGTACATTAGATAGGCTGCTGTATATAAGAAATGTACTAAAACCTGGGCAGGAAAAAAAAAAAAAAAAAAAGTACTAATATACTAATAATGTAAATGATTGCTGACACTGTCTGAACTACATATAGTACGATGGCATCGCAAACTAATTATACAGTTCTATATTCACTCCCTTGTTTCGCATCATTACTGAAGCACTTAAAAACTGCAGAGAAAGCATTAAAAAATGGATTCTAGGATCGCCGTTTTGAATGCATTCTGCAAATAGACAATAAACTTAAGTGATTGTCATCTGTGGAGCATGGAATATGTTTGAGAGAGGAAAGATGCACAGGGCATTTAACGACATATTTCATTTAATAATAAAAACCCCAAAGCCAACCGTTCGCATATATACTAAGTGTCAAAGTCATAGCACATTTCAACAAATACATGAATTCCAACGTAGATATCAGATTGTCTGGAGAACTAAAATTGCTAGTTTTGCTTTCAGAATGAAAGTTTGTGATTTTGTTAAGTATGCTGTTGAAACACCAAGATGTGCTGTAAAAATAATAATCTGAGTACATTTATGTCTAAATCAGAGGTTTATGAACTAAATTTTCTATGATACACAGGGAGCTCAGAGGTTGGCTAAGTGTCATGTGAATTTTAGTTCACAAATGTCTTGGGTTCCATACTTGGTAAGACATTGCAGCCCAACCATACCCTAACATCGATCATAGAAATAACTTCAGGTACCAATGAGCTGTGGATCCCATTATAAAAAAAATATATATTACTGCTAATGATTAACAAAGAACTTTTGGAAAGACATTTCTCCAAATGTTTTTTCTTCTTTTCTAAATTCTACAAACTAGGGATCGACCGATATTGATTTTTTTAGAGCCGATACCGATATTCTGTGAACTTCAGGCCAATAGCCGATATAATTTGCCGATATTCTGTACGTTTACCATTTTGGAAAATAAAAACTATTTCTAAAGGTAAATGCACAAAATATACATGCCACATGTAGTGGATGCAGTGTGTTTAGACAGGGGAGCTGCGTGTGTTTGTGTAGTGTGTGTAGTGGATGCAGCGTGTGTTTGTGTAGTGTGTGTAGTGGATGCATTGTGTGTTTGTGTAGTGTGTGTTGAGGATGCAATGTGTGTTTGTGTAGTGTGTGTTGAGGATGCAATGTGTGTTTGTCGAGTGTGTGTAGTGGATGCAGTGTGTATTAGTGTAGTGTGTATATAATGAAAGCAGAGTGTTTGTGTAGTGTGTGGGTAGTGTGCATAAAGTGAATGCTGTATATACTAAATGCAAAGTGTGTGTATTTGTGTAGTGTGTGTGTATAGTGAATGTAGTGTGTTTATATAATGCAGAGTGTGTGTGTTTGTATAGTGTGTGTATATAATGCAGTGTGTTTGTGTAGTGTGCATTACACTACACAAACACACTGCATTATATACACAAACTACGCAAACACACTGCATTATATACACACACTACACACACTGCATTATATAAACACACTACATTATATACACACACACACTGCATTATATAAACACACTACACAAACACACTGCATTATATACAGTGTGATGTGTAGTGTGTGTATATAATGCAGTGTGTGTATATAATGCAGAGTTTGTGTGTGTGTATAATACAGTGTGTGTGTAGTGTGTGTATATAATGCAGTGCGTTTGTATAGTGTGTGTATATAATGCAGTGCGTGTATTTGTGTGCATTGTATACACACACACACACTGCATTATATATACACACACAGCATTATATACAGTGTGTTTGTGTAGTGTATGTGTATATAATGCAGTGTGTGTATAGTGTGTGTATATAATAGTGTGTTTGTATAGTGTGTGTATATAATGCAGTGTGTGTATTTGTGTGCATTGTATACACACACACTGCATTATATACACAGTGTGTTTGTGTAGTGTATGTATATATAATGCAGTGTGTGTATTTGTGTGCATTGTATACACACTGCATTATATACACACACACACACACTGCATTATATACACAGTGTGTTTGTGTAGTGTATGTGTGTATATAATGGAGTGTGTGTGAGGGGGCATTTTTTTATTAAATTATTATTATTATTTTAGAGTTAATTATTTATTTTTGTTGTCCCCTCCCTGCTTGTTGCCTGGCCAGGGAGGGGGGATATGACAGTTCCTGGTGGTCCAGTGGTATTGGCTGAGCTCTGGGGGGAGCGGGCATCAAGCGCTTACTCACCTCCCAGCAGCTCCTCCAGCTCCCCAGTGCAACTCTCGCGGCCAGCGTGTCGCGCGGAGCGTTGCCATGGTGACCGTTGTCTATACTTGTGATGTACAAACCGTTAATATTTCATTGCAAGTGGGTATAGATATACTAAACATGGAGTTAAGTTTATAAATATACTTGCTCAATCAAGGCCAAACAACACGGATTTTGAAAATACATTTTAATTTGATATTAGCCAATCCAACCTAATCCAGCATTCTCAGCCTAACACAAGTTAATTCACACATTATCAAGCTACAATTTATTTATCCGTGCTTCTTCTATTGAAGCGATGGGGAAAGTGCTGCATTTGTGAGATGCCACAGGTTCACATGAGGAAGTATTTCCATTGCTTTGAAAGAGGATGATGTGATAAATCACTATAAAAAAAATATGGTAACACTCGCACGGTGTGAGCGTTTTCACGGACCCCAATAACATTATGCTTTGTAGTAACGAGCAGAAAAATATAATACAATCATCATTCTGAAGGCGTTTTTGTGTTTTTTCCTACCTGGACACCTCTCACAGTTTTAAGGCCAGGTGTTTGTGTAGGAACCAAAGGAAAGCTGAGGGGGTCAGTCTTTCATAACAAACCTAGCATTCCCTTATAGATAATACATTAAACAGTGCAGTGAAAAAGCAATATAATATTACTGGGCAGTCAATAAGTAGGTAAAGGATATAGGCCTGTCACAGCTACCTTACCTCATGTTTAAAGGGACACTATATAATCACTAGAATCACTACAGCTTAAAGTAGTGTTTTTGGTGTCTATATCATCTATTCAGAGAACGGGTACGGTTCGGTTTACATTGCAGCCTAGTAACACCTCTAATAACAGCCACTCGAACAGGCACTTCCTGGCTTAGGTTGTGCAATACCATACTTGGCATGGAGACACTGAACATCCCCATGAGGAGATGCGGATTGGTGCAGTGCGGTGTTTTGTCATTCGCACAAGCCTCCCGATGCTTTTCAATGGATTGGCCAACATCGTCACGATTAGGCCTGAGAGAGCAGTGCAGCAACATAATAAAGGTTTTTTTTTTTTTTTTTTAAAGGTACTTTGTTACTCTATTTTCGGAGGGGGTAAAGAGGGTGGTAACCAAAACATGCAGTCCAGCACCATTTTGTATTCCTAGAGGTTTCCTTTAATATAATTATACAACAGCCAAAAAAAAAAAAAAAAATATAAAAATAATAATAAATGAATATATATATATATATATATATATATATATATATATATATATATATATATATATATATATATATATTTTTTTTTTTTAAATATGTTTTGTTGGAATATCATTGTTTTAAAAACTACATGGAGAAGATAGATACATTAATTTTGTTATGCTTGTTTTTTTTTCTCCTTTAGTTTAAGGACTGAGGCAATTGTACAAGTTGTGATCAAAAGAAAACGTAAACAAAACTTTGAACTTGCGCTGGCCAAAGTTAGCGTGCGTTCATATTTGTGTGTCAAAATTGCAAAAAACTAATTTTGGCCAGTGTTTGTGACTGACTGCTAAAATAGACTGGACATACCCTGTGACGAAGTGCCCTTCACCACTTGGTCCTGGAGAGGCCTGCTTGCCTGCCTCCTCCCCTGTGACTATGGCCCTTTAAAAATGCTATTTAGGCCTATGGACTTGTATTGGACTGTGTATGACGCTTTAAGAACTGTATTGGGGCTTATGGACTTTTATGGCACTGGTGCTGGCTCTAAGCACATTTTTGGGGCATGGTGAAAATCGGGACAATACCCCTTTAAGACGGTGTCCCCAGTGTCCCCGGACTTGTTTGGGACAATGCCTCTTTAGGACTGTGTCCCCAGACTGGGAAAATGACTTGTGCATGGTGGCTTCCCACTTGGTTCAGTAAATGGGGCTTACTGAACCAAGTACCACACAGGCGGACCACCCAGAAGTGGAAGCGTGCAAGCAATGAAGATAGGATGTGTGCTTTTAAAGTTACAGTGCATGTGTAAAAACTGTATATTTTCTGCCTGTGATAATTAAGTTAGTCTATTGTGTTGAGATAATTGTATCACAGGCAGAGGGGAGAATTTCTGCTGGGATGAATGGGGGTGGTTTACTTTATTGTATGTGTTGTAATGTTTTTATTGGTTGTTCTGAAAAACCCTGTGGGTGTTCCTATGTAGGGAAAACCTGCATAAAAGAACGCCCTTTGGTGCTAATTAAAACAGTTCTTCTTGACCCTCAACAAGTAGTCTTGTCTCGTGATTGGAGGGGACAGCTATACTCACACTGGGGATTGCTATGCCAGTCTATTTTAGCAGTCAGTCACAAACACTGGCCAAAATTATTTTTTTTTGCAATTTTGACACACAAATATGAACGCACGCTAACTTTGGCCAGCGCAAGTTCAAAGTTTTGTTTAAGTTTTCTTTTGATCACAACTTGTACAATTGCCTCAGTCCTTAAACTAAAGGAGAAAAAAAACAAGCATAACAAAATGAATGTATCTATCTTCTCCATGTAGTTTTTAAAACAATGATATTCCAACAAAACATATTTAAAAAAATAAATAAAAAAACACATACATATACATATATATATATATATATATATATATATATATATATATATATATTATTATTATTTTAAGTGTGGTTTTGGTTTTTCTATTTTTTTTTTTTTTTTGCATACTCCCCTGAGCTTTAATCACTTAGCTCTTTTAAGAGCTTGTTCCTGATACGCTGACCTGGAAGAGAGGTCTTTCCCACACGGTCCTGGAGGACAGAAGCTGATCCAGGGTGGACATTAGACAGTGAGACTCCAGTTAAGCTACGGCGGTTGTGGAGTCTGCGGTGGTTGTGGTGTCCGGTGCGGTGCTTGTGGTCCTCGGCGCAGGCTAGCAAGCGTCCATCAACGGAAGGTACTCGGTTGGAGTACGGGGAGTTCCGTTACATGCCCCATTTGCAATACCTTGGGTTGCCATTTTTTGCAAATGACATGCCATCATTGAGGTAATTCTCATTCCTGGGCTACCACACGGTTTCAAAGGCAACATAACCAATCTGGCTAATTTTAATAGGAAAAAACTGAAATGCAAGCCACAGACATAGACTTAGATCATATATATATATATACACATATATATATATACACACACATATATATATATATATATATATATATACACATATATATATATACACATATATATATATATACACACACATATATATATATATATATATATATATATACATATATATACATATATATATACATATATACACACACACACACATATATGATCTAAGTTTATATTGTTTACTTTTAAACAGTTGTTTTAACTTTATTAAACTTTTCTACAGGCAGCTGGAACTGCAGCTGGAACAGTAACCACCAACTTACAGAACAAACTTAAAGACGCAGTACAGGCTGAAAGCGACAAACTTTTTTTCTTTTGATGCTTGAAATAAAAAAATTAAAAAATAGTGAACATAAAAATGAATATTAATATATAAAAATGAAAAAAAAAATACATTACATTCTGTAAGTTCTAATTGCAATAAAGAGCACAAGAATAACTTATCGCGTAACGTACCGCACTCTACAGATACACTGCTTACACAAAACGGACGACGATAATATCGTTAACAGGCTTTAAACAAGTTTCATTCAGCTGATGTTCAAACAAACAGAAGAAAACAGCATGTAGAAGTTCTCATGCAAGACTGCAGCAAGAAATTTAAGAGGCAGCGAGATGAGATGTGAGTTTTGTGCCATGGTATGAAATCACATGTTTGGAGCAATAAAAACAATGTGTCAAAAACAAAATCCAGAACATTCAAACACTTTTATTGGTAAAACATATATCGTGAACTTTTGTGTATAGGAAAAAAAAAGGAAAAAGAAAAAAGAAAAGAAAAAAATTATACAATTATTTGGCGGTCGGGTATAAATTACATGGATAGTTTTATGGGGTGTTGAAACGAAATCCAAGTGTAATGTTACGGTTGTTCCTCTTAGGATTACAGAAAATCCTAAGAAATGAAAAGGCCACAACTTGTTTTCCCTTTATTTCTATCCCTTAGGAACATCTTCTGCATTAAGAACCGGGTATTGGCCGAGCACAGCAGTAAAAATGGAAAAAATCGACTATAATACTCATTATGATGATTATATTTTGTGATTTCAGAGACAAACTA